TCAAGAGAAACAGAAACAACTAGCCTTGCCTTCCCACAAACTCATCCAAGATGTATTCACGCGGTGGAATAGCTCCCATGACATGCTTGAACGCTTTTTTGAGCAACATCCTGCGATTTCTGCAGCACTCATGTCCAGGGACCTCAGAAAAGGAGAAGAGGTGAATACTCTCAAGGACAAAGACGTCTGCGACATTGAAGACATTGTCAAACTGATGGCGCCGGTCAAACTTGTGACTACCAGCATGTCTGAAGACAAGCGACCCACACTCTCAATGATTCTTCCTGTAAAAGCAAAGCTTAAAAAGAACTTTGAACCATCAGATGAAGACTCAGTGTTAATCAGAGAGATGAAGCAGGCGTTCAAGAATGACTTGGAGAAACGCTACACAGGCCTTGAACATCTCTTCCACACTGCAGCAGCTCTGGACCCCCGTTTTAAGTCCCTGCCCTTCCTCAGTAACCATGATGCAGAGAGGACATTCACAAGCATATCAGCAGAAGCAGCATCCCTGCATCACAAGGTAAATCCCCCAACACACTGACAAAATACATATTACAGTACATTCAGTTACAGTCTGGTGTGTTTTGTTGCTGTCATTAGATATATTCTGACTACTGTTTATTTGATTCTTTACACTGCATTTAACCATACTGTACACTAAATGTTATTTCATGTTTTATTTCTAGGTAACGGGGGGTTCAGTTCAGAGAGGTCCAGTGCAGACTGATCCATGTCAGAGTGAACCTGCAAATGGAGATCCGGACGTCTGCATTGATGTACCCCAGACCCAAGATGAGCATAAAGGTTTGTGTGTTTTATAACTTGTGATCAAGAACGAGAAGACTTTGTCTTAAACTTGTGCTGCAGTCATAGTATCAGTATAAAACACATTCACTATAATAAGAGGATCTGCATGCAAAGAAAGAGTTAAATAATAATGATGATGATAATGATACATATTTTACATATGTACACGAGTCCTTACATAAATAAATTCTGAACATCAAATGAAGATTTATACATAAAATGGTAGTCAATTAAAAAACTTCATGGCAAACATAGCCAGTAATATATGGTACTTGTTTTCTATTTCAGATGATAAACCTCCTTGTAAAAAGAAGAGAATGTCAGCCCTGGACCAGCTGTTGGGAGAAGACTTTCAAGTAAAGATGGCATCTAGATCTGTGAGGGACCAGGCCAATGAAGAAGTCAAGAGGTACAGAGAGCGTGATCCTTTGCCCCTGAACAAAAACCCACTACAGTGGTGGAAAGAGCAACAGGACTTGCCACTGCTGTCATCTGTGGCTAAAATGTATCTGTGCATACCGGCCACCAGTGTGGCATCTGAGAGAGTTTTCAGCACTGCAGGAGATATCGTTTCCACAAAACGCAGTCTACTCAAACATGAGCATGTGGATCAGCTGATTTTCCTTAAGAAAAATCTGCCGCAAAAAAAAGATGAGGACAGTGATTATGACGAATAAAAATATAGGTAAACATACAAACATAAGGAAGTGAACTACTTCACTGTGTTTGAGTTCAGATTGAACCTGACGTGAATGTAGAAATGCAGGACATTACTTTTGTTCAGACTACCTCACCAGGTCAGAAAGCTGCACTTTGATTTCTTTTATACATGTAATCGGCACTTTGACTGTTGATATGTGCTGCTGATTATCCATGCTGCTGATCTGATCTCATGCTGCTGTTTAAATGACATGATGTTATATTAATCTGTGCCCACCTGCTCACACAAACTCATGTTCGTGCTGCTGTTGTTAGGCGTACTGTTCTTGCATTATGTTTTTGTATTATTAAGTTCAAGTTCAATTTGTGTTTATTTGTCATATGCAAGGTTAACACGATGAAATGCTCAGGATGAGAAGAACTGATTTGACTTGCTAAAAAACAAAAAACAAGCAAACAAGAAATACTAAAGCAATAAGGGTACAAAATAAACTACCAAAAAGTGAAAAAGTAATTATAATATTTACAAAGTTTCTGAAGAGAAAAATGGTAAACAACAACACTGTAGAATTTTTACAGTGAAGCAGAATGAATTTGTGTGAATAAGTATTTCAAGGTAGTAATGTAATATAAGCTAAAATGCACATGATATATATTGCACATAACTACCAAACTACGCAGGGTATGTGACAGGTTATTGCACAGGTGCTTTGTGCTTACTGTAGCTTATTCCTATTTTTTTTTTTTTTTTTTTATTACATGCTGCTGTAATCATTTGTGCATTTTATAATTTTTCTTTATTTTCTCATTTTATACTGATCCCATCAAACAAAGAAATATTCTTTTAGCTGGTCTTTTTAGGTCCATGTCTAAAAATAAACACATTTGACATGTGATTCTGTTGTTTGGCTTTTTACTTTATTTTTGCCAGTGCCTTACTGCACGCTTTTAGATATGATATATGTAAACTTTTACAAATTTAAAAATAATGTAAGAATGTCACATTTATAGAAATGGCCCTTTTTGTTCATAATTAATATTTGTCTACATTCAACAAATGTTAAACTGTAGAATTATATAAAGTTGAATCGAATCGAACCGAATCGCTCTTCCACTGTATCGAATCGAATCAAATCGTTCTGTTTTTAAAATAAATCGTTTTTGAATCGAATCGTAACCTTTGTATCTAGATGCGAATCGAATCGTCTATCACACAGAGATGTACAACCCTAGAAGCTACCCTCTCGTGCACCAGGGTGAACTTCAACGTACAGGCACCAAGATGAGGGGTGTTGTGGTTAGAATACCACGTCGTGTTCAAAACGGCTGAGGCGTCGCCCTTCGTATAAAAGATTTATTTGACACAACATGGGTTACAGATATTCAGAGACAAACAATTACATTAATAAGATATATGCATATAAATGGAGCATTAAGAACGAACCGTCGCCGTGCGCGCCTCCCGGAAATGCTCGGTGGGCGTGTGTCATTTCCAGCCTTTTATCCCCGTTTGAGAAGGCTAGCTTCCTGATTGGTTCAGCTTCTGTCGCTATGGTTACGACTCTTAGCCCGCCCCCTCAAGGACGTTAACGTCTATATTTCAGACAAGTTTTGGTACACCGAAATCGGCTTTTGTTTAAAGTTTAACTTGCTATTATACTTTAGGGATACAAAATGATTCGTGTCTAAATTGTTTATACGTAATAATTAATAACTATTAATTATTACCTACCTCATGGGTGTTAATTCAATATCTGTTGAAGGCCTGGTGATTCTGTTTTTTTTAAGGCAGATTCATCTTAGTTTCCTTGTCTACGTTTAAACTGTTAACACTGTTTGTTTAACGTGATTATACCTTAGTGATACCAACTGATTAGAAATCAAGTTGTTTATTTCTAGGAATAATTAATAACTTAATTATTATTATCTAACTCATGTTTGTGTTTTTTATTTGGATCATTTTTATACTTTTTAATTTGATATTACTTAGTCAAACTATATTGTCTAAATTAAAGAGATGTGTTCTAGCTTTATTTATGTTAATCAGTCTCTGCTCTAATCTGTTCTGAAAGGTTCTGAAAGGCCTGATTTGATTGCTTGTAATCTATCAAATGTGAACTTGTAAAATTATCCTTAGCTCTTATGAGATTATATTTAAAGGTCAACTAGTTAGAATTAGCAAACATTTTCTATAAACATAGTTCAACCCTGGAAGAAAGACACGCACACACTTTATATGACATGACATTTGAGTGCTTGATAGGAATTATAAAAAGGTATAAAATATTAAATCCAACAGGGGCAACAAGTACGCCCACTCCTGCTTGGCACCTCTCACCAGAGGCAACTCCAGAGTGGAAGAGTGTCCAACCCCTTTCAAGGAAACTGGTTCCAGAGCCAGACCCATGCGATGAGGTTAGTCTGACTATTTCTAGCTGGAACCTCTCAACCTCACACACCAGCTCAGGCTCCTTCCCCACCAGAGAGGTCCAAGTCCCAATAGTCAACTTCTGTAGCCGAGGATCAGACAGCCAAGGTCCCCACCCTTGACCACACCCATCCCACATTGCACCCGACCCCATTGGCCCCACACATTTTACACAGTCATTTTATTCTTAATACATCTGAAGTTTTGTGTGAAAAAGGGCATAGTCCACAGTTTGATGTGTACACACCTTTTGCACATGAGGCCCATGGTTTGGCAATTTTTCTCTCAAAACCAAAAACTGCCTGAACCAAACAGTGAAGTGGTCCAGGAAGCTGACAGGAGAGATGCAACTAAATTCAGAATCCCTGTACTACAGGCTGTTACATAGAATGCCTGGATCAATTTTAAAAGACTGATCTCAGCCTCTGCACTGTCAGTTCAGGTCCCTAAATCAAGATGCCGATGCTTAGTGTCAAAATGTAAAACTAAGCATTTTAAAACCAGCTTTGTTCCTGTTGCTATCAATCTCTTAAATTTGATTTAGAAAAGTTTTAACATTGTTTGTTATTTTATCCTTTGGTCTTACCTGCTCATCTCTTCATTGTATCCTGCTATTCTGATATTGATATTGTTCATAAGATGTGTGTGTGTGTGTGTGTGTGTGTGGGGGGGGGGGGGTATTTATTTGTGTTAAATGTATCTGTTAGTCTTTCATTAGTCTGTCATGGGTAGATGCTTGGAGTGTGGGATGTCTGCTTTTTGTTAATAAACTAAGGTTAAATGACTCCAAATGCAAATGTTGTTTTTATGTGGACTCTGTTTCCTGTAAAAAAAATTATAACAAAAAATATAGGCTACAACAATATATACAAACAAAAAATAAAATAATATATGGTACTTGCACCGATTAGAAATACAACAAAAAAGGTTAAATCGTGTCATCTGGACCAGTTTCTTTAAGTGAGAAATGTTTTGTCCCCATCCAGCTTCCTCAGTCTACGGCTTGCCAACCATATTGATTAGAAATACTGTTCAAATGTTTTTTTTTTGTTTTTTTTTTGGGTGGGGTAAAATCTAACCACCTTTTGTTGGTGTGTCATAGGAACTGGAGAATGCTGTGACAGTCGAGAACTTGGAACTCCTGGAACAGCAATCAGACCGCCAGGAGCTGGAGGAGACCCTGCTGAAATTAGACAAGCACAAAGACAAGTTGATTCAGCAAATAAAGGCTACTAGACAGCTCTGTTATGAAGAAAGTCAAAAGGTAAGAAGAAGTATCTGCTAAGTGGCTCATTCTGTGTTTGTATATTGACCAGGATCTTGTCTTGAGTTGTTCTGAGTCCTGTCTGCTGCTACATTGTTTCAGTGTGACCACCACTTTTCTGTTTATATCAACTTTAATTTTCTAAGTATCTAATTGTGAACGAAGGACAGTTAAAATCCTCTCATAATGTGAATTGTTTCCGTTCTACTGTAGATCTTGTCTCTACAAGCAGAAGAGGCACAGAAGGAGAACCAGGTGGAGGAATTTGAAAAAGAACTTGCCAGAGCGAGGTGGAGACTGAAGAAGCTCAGAGAGGAGGTGAAACAAGCTAAAAAGAAGGTGGATGAGGCTGGGGAAAGGAACACGCCCTTGCAAGACTCTATCAGACAGTCCTATGAAGAAATTATGAAGGTAATAAAAGAAATGGCACCAGAACAGTTTTTGTAGAAACAAATAAAAGCAAATAAATAAATGTAGACCTTGACCTCTCTAAGGGATTTTAAACATCTGTTAAGTTCAATGAAAAAATAATCAATGCAGGCATGTTCCTGTTTTTAGTAACTTACACTGTTTATAATGTAGTGCTTTTTTTATTTTGCTATATATATATATATATATATATATATATATATATTATACATGTATATAGTTTTTTAAATGCTTTCATATGAATTTTTATTGTTGTGTGTACTTTATGGTTTTTGTTTAAAACAGGCCTCTTGACTCATGTACAAGATAAGTATAATACTTATAATACACTGTAAAAATAAAGGTTGAATGAATGAATGAAAAAAAATCCTACACATACAAACTCAAGACAGATTTTTTTGTTGTTAAAATTTTATTTTTTGTACACAAGTTATGAATGTATCCAAAATTCTTTATTCTGTTTAACTGGTCACAAGACAGTCTGTGAAATGCCAAGATATCCTATAAAATCAACATAACAAGGAGACCATGTTCATTCCTGTTTCAGATTAAAAGAACGGGTAGAATACCACAAAATGAATGACAGCAATGTCAACTCTTTAGAAATTGATAATGATAACCCAAGAAACAGAATTGTTTTTTAGTTGTTTGCTATTTTTCTGGATCCACTTTGTTGTGTTTAGTGCCATGAGGAGCTGGTGTCCATCTCCAGCAGTCAACAACCGAGTAGGAGCGATATGATATCTTTTTAAGCTCCTGCTAAACTTCATTGCATTCACAAATTTGTTGTCCAGTAGGATACTACTGTTAATTTGGAAATGTGCAGCTCTACCTACATCTAAAAGATGAATTAGATAAGTCATTGATTTCCTTAAACCAGAAAAAAATCTTTCTGATTTTGCTGTTAAAGCTAGATCACTTGAAATCACCTTGAATGTCTTCCTGTCCCGTTTAAAAGGAGACACAGTTGTAGAGGTCAGAGCTAAGAATGCAGATCAACTTGAGGAGTTTTAATAAAAAGTGAAGAGGTCTATTAATAATAATAATAATAATGAACACAATACATTTATAGTATCTCAGAGAACTTTTAAATCGATACTGAGGAGATTTGTGCTCAATTCCATTTCATGTACATACATGTAAAGCATACATGTTTTTTGAATGTCCAGAGGACCAGATTTAACTTTTTTACATTTTTCTACCTGGATTATTGAGCATGCATCAGCATACATGTACATGCTATTTCTAGTTTGTAGTAAAGTATAGTGATGTATTTCATTTTCTCATTTTTCTTATTTACTTTTGTAAATTAATGTGTAACTATATAACTTAATGGTACTTGCTGTTGCCTATTTTGATCAGGACTCCCTTGACAAAGATGTTTTTAATCTCAATGGGATTTTTCTTCCTGGTAAAATAAAGGCTTAATAAAATATTAATAAACTGACACAGCTTTCAACATATAAAGAGAATGATAGTTTTAGCCAACCAGAGCAGAACAGGGTAGGTCATGCTTTCTGATGTCTGGTGAGCCAGGTACAAGAAGAGCTCCCATCTTAGTGAGAGGCTGCAAGTGAGAGCACCAATCAGTTCCTGTCCTGGCCCAGCAGAGGCTCAGCTCTGAGTCCCTCTCCATCCCAAAACAAAATTTCTGCTCTGTCAATCACAATTACATAATTGATTAGATTTTTATTTAAAACACTATCTGTTTTCATTTAAATTAAAATACAACTTCATTTTGTATTAACTCAAGATAATATTCAGGATGAATGAATGAATAAGCATTGAAATTGAATTTACATTTACACTCTAATTCCCCAGTTCGTAAGCTTCTGTAGGTTAGCTAACAGGAAACAGAGCATAACTAAAGACTTTCTAACATACTTACAAGATATTATTATATTAAAAATGTTCTGCTTGGTTTAGAGCAGAGATCACCTTCTGGTGGCCTGCAGGGTGTGTGTGTAATAATAAATTATTATTGTTTCAAGTAAATGTATCTGTATTCTGCATCAAAGGCTAGTCCTTGCAGAGTCTGATCAGAGGAAGTCTGGTCCCAGAACAAGTTGTTAGTGACCACTGTTTAAAGCTTTTCTTACTCAGTGCTGAAGGAAAAAGGGGAATAATGTTTTTGCTCATGTCTGTGCATTTATGTATGCTTATCTGTATCATCTCAATCACGGACAAACATCTAATGAATCAGTTGACATATTTAATTAAACTCCCAAAAAATTATCACTGAATCTACACCATTTATCTTTTTGAACATATTTGATTTATTGTTGCTAGCACATTCAAGCGGCCTCAGCAAACACATAAATAAGTCAGCCAGTTTCATAAATATTGACCTAAAGTTTGTATCCGAGTCATTCAGGTCACTATATGATTGTTCCAGATCAGTTTTAAAGTGTTTACCTTTGGAGAATAGCATGAACATTTTAACATTCATATTAGAAAAAATATTTAATGAATTAATAGAGTGATATGAATGAAACTCTCAGAAATTAAATCAGTGAATGTACACTTTTAGATTGACTTAATTGAATATTGTTGTTCACTTGAGTTTTTTCTTTTCTTTCAGATGCTCTCTTCTTTAGGGGTCACCACAGCGAATTTAGTCGCACGAAGACTTGGCAATTATTTTTACGTTGGATGCCCTTCCTTACATACACACCCACAGACCACCAAGCTACTACAGCTCTCTATGAGGAGCAGGGAGCTGTCATCTAGGGCACCCGGGTTGGCAGGGGGGGGGGGGGGGGGGTTAAGGGCCTTGCTCAAGGAGCCAGAGTGGGACAAATGAGGGTGGAGACAGGTGTGGGTGATTCACCTATCCCACCCACATTTTGATGTTGGTGATACCGGGAGGTGAACCAGCAATCTTCCGATCACAGGCCCACCTTCTCTAACCTCTGCGCCACCACTCCAGCCACCTAACTAACTATTGCAAATGTAAAAATGGCTCTAACTTGTCACGTTTTACCCCTGTTCTCCAGAGTTTTGTGTTAGTTTTCATGAGTCATCGCTGGAATGCCTGTCACCATTCTTCAGCTCCTGTCTTCCTGGACCATGCCTCCTCTGCTCTGACACTAATCAAGCACTCGTCTTTTCCACCTGCTCTGCTCCCTTTATAAGCCCAGCTCTAACTCTCATCCAGTGCCAGATTATTGAAAGCTCATTGCCAGTAAATATCCAACGTTCCATGACTTTTCTCTTGCCTTGCCTTGACCCTTCGCCAATGTACTCGGATTCCTCACTTTTCCTGACCCTTTTTGGATTTATTATTGCTACATTTGACCACGGTAATGACTCTGCTTTCCTCCTCCTTGACTACGCTTACGGATTATGATTTGATTCTGGTTCCTGCTCTCTGCTCTCCTGGATATGAACTCTGCTACGTTTTCTTGACCCTGCCTCTGGATTTGTCCCCCATGAACCACATATGATTCCAAAGCCTGCTCCGCTGCTGCAGTTTACTCTGCACGAGTGACATCACTGGTATCAGTGCAACTACAGCACCTGCCGCGCTACAGACTGAGAAGGTTAGTGACTAATCCCAGCAAGCTTCTAAAACTCTTCATCAGTCAACCTATCTCTCTTAACAGACTGGACTTTCTCCTGGACCCAGACCTCCACCAGAAGCTGTTTTAACAATAAACTGCTTCAAACCATGATGAAGCTTTTCCACATTTCCCAAGAGAAATTGATAAGTCGGCCTGTTCTGAGGCTAGCTGGGGAGAGATTCAGATAACTACAATTGTTGATTTATTCAGGGAGACTATTTTTCCGTCAACCTTGAGTCTGTACTGATAACTTCCAAGGTCTGAAATGTCCAGATTAGAGTGCATTCCATTGGTCCGTGCTTACGAGCCCCTTCAAGATGCTTTTTTCATGCTGACGAGTCCCAAAGCTGCAGGTGGCATGCGATTCAAATCACTTCCAACTTACGGTTTCACTCGTAAATTAGCTGATTTTTGAGTCCTTCAGCACAAACCAGACTTTCACATAGACAGCAGCTTGTCGAAGTCCAAATTAGCTGCAGCCGTCTTCTTTGTATGTTGATAAGGCAGGATCCAGACTATTCCAAACACAGGAAACCTGGTATCTTGAATCCAATTATTGGCAATTTCAACATCTTGGTCGATAGCAGAGGTAGACACATCCCCCCCCCCCCCCCCCCCACCGAGATATATCCAGCTGCACGCCTTATCCAAGCAGATGAGGGTTCTCCAGGACACTATTGCTTTGTTGAAAGAATTTGTAATATACGTTGAAAGTCCAGTTGGTCAGATCCAAAACTGTAGTTTCCATTTCGGGAGATGTGTGAAAAATAGGAGCTGCTCTGATACACAGACAGAGAGCAAAAAAATATATATAATAAAGCAGGAGGGACCATGGAGTGGGAAGGAATGCGTGCGCCTCCTTTGAGAGCTTGAGAGAGAGAGAGAGAGAGAAAAAAAACATGTAACAGAATACATAACAGACTTTCATGCAATAGCAGCAGAAGAGGCATTAACTGATTTTTGTCCCCAAGGTCTCAACGATAACATAAAAGATGACCTGGCAACCAAGGACTACCCTGGAGACATAAAAGCTCTGGAGGACCTGGCAACACGCCTTGATTTACACCTCTGGGAAAGAAACCGAGAGAGAGAGAAGACAGATCAGTGAATATGCCCAGAGCCTGGGGTGAGTCAAAAACTTTGCTTAATGTGAAACCTACTGGACTTCCTAACAACATCCCACAGCCTGAAGAGCCCATGCAACTATGTAAGAGTTGCCTTACTCCTGAGGAGAGAGACAGAGAGAGAGAGAGAGAGAATGAGGAGACTACACATCTGCTTCTACTGTGGGGAGGGGAGCCACAACATAGCCAAGTGCCCATTAAAAGCACAAGACTCAGCAGGTAAGAGGAAATGCCTACTGAGTCAGATCAGAAGTCCCAAGGTCTCCTCACCATTTACTGTACCAGCTGTGATCCA